CTCCACTTGCTTAGAAGAAAAATCTGGGAGTCTTCTTTGAAACTTCTTTTTCCTTCCCATGTCATAGAAAATTCTTTTGCCTCTACCTTCAAAATATACCTGAAATTCAATTTCTTGTTATTTCCACTACTGACCACCAACTCCCAAATGTATTGTCTTTTTTTTCACAATCGATCTCTTTGTCTCCCTCTGCTCTTGTATACACATTTAATTCTGTACCCAACACCAGTGGTCATATCAAATTAAAATTAAATCATAAGTGCTGCTAACAAGCCTCCAGTCTTCTCATCCAACTGCAGACAGAAGCCCAAAGCTTGCAATGGCCCTCAGGCCCTTGAGTCATCTGGTTTTTTCCTTCCTCCTCTGTCAACACCATCCTGTTCCCACCTCACTTTGGCCACACCAGTCTCCTGTGCTATTCTTCAAACTCACTGCACACTTTAAACCTACAGCCCTCAACTTTGCTGTTCCTGACACCCAGGAAGCTCTTCACGTAGGTAGCCATTTCACTTTTTCAGGTCTCTGTTAAAAGTCACTTTATCAGAGAAGACTTCCTTGAAAACTGTCTTTTAAAACACGCCACCTTGCTCACTTCTCATTCCCAGCCCATGCCTTCCTATCTCTACAGCAAACCATGATATCCATGACAGGTTACATGCTAAGTTTCCTTGTCTATCTTCCCCCTGCTAGAATGTAAGCCTGATGAAAACAGTGGTCTTGCTTTTTCTCTGCTGTTCCATCAAGAATAGGATCTCTTACGTAGTAGGCGCACAACACACAGTTGTTGAATGAATGAACAAGTTGTTTAACATAGGAATTCAATGTTTTGCCCTGTCAAAATTCATTAGGAGCATTAGATTCTACGTGTAAATATTTCAATTGTAGAGTCAGAGCTCAGTGTCATAACACCCTGTTGCTCTTTCCAAAAAAGAAAGATACTGAACACCTTCAAAAAAGTCAAGAAAATTTAGTAAGATGATTTTCTTCCTCGTCTCTGCACAGGATGGGGGGAAAAGTCACATCACTGATTCCAATCTATGTCAAAGTAAATAAAAATTCAATTTGCCTGAATTTGATCTTATCCGGAAGATGACTTCTATTTCAAAAAGGACATCTTTACAGATCTTCTATGAAAATGACTATGGATATAAACATGGTCTATATTTTCTTTGCTCTCTCTTGTTGGTCAGGGAAGGAATGGCAAAACCACATTGAAAGTTGCAGTTGGCATCAATATGCCTTTCAGGATCAAGCCTGAAGTAGCCTGTGTGGCAATAAGAACCAACCATAATAATCAATAACTGTACCATTCACTTTCATTCACCCTAAATCAGCATGGAACAATTTCGTGATCAATTTAACAGAGATGTTATACCATTCATAAAGTGTTTGTTTTCAAATACTTAATAAAATGTAATAAAATAATCTTTTTTTCCAAATTGAGTATAAATGACAAAGTCCAGTATTTCTAGAATGTTTTATAGTCAAAGAAGTGGTGCACTATGAAAAAGACACATCATCTAAGATAAGCACAGGCTTTAAGAATCGAAAAACTTGGTCTGAATCTGACTGTCTCTGCTTGATAAGTAGGAAACCTTGAGCAAGTTGTTAACATGTTACTGAGCCTTGGTTTCCTATTTGGTACTTGATGACAGTAATATCAACTTTTTTGGGTTAATGATTAAATGTGATCTGTATGCCACTTCCCTATCAGAGTACCTGCAGAAGAGGAGAAGCCTAAGCAGTAATAGTTTCTCCATTGACACTGTCATTTAATCCTCAGATCATGTCTCAGCTGCTGATATTATACTTTCCGTTGAACAGATAAGAAAACTTAGGTGTGTAGAAGTTAATCAAACTGATCAAGGTCAAAGATCTAGTAAATTATCAAAATTTTCTCTCCCTTCATTCATAGAGGCTCTTGATAAACAGAGTGTCAGATGAACCATCTTTAATGTATTATGTGACTGAAGGCTGCCAGTAATTAGGGGAATCTTTTAAGGGAGAAACTGAAGAAGAGCCCCTGCACCCCCCGCCCCCACCATGGGTGCCTAACATACTTCTTCCCTTGACAAAACGTAGACTCCAACTTCCACAAACAAACTAAATGCAGAATAAATGAACACTGGAACCAGCTTCACAGCTATGAACACCTTGGTTTACATACCAGTTTTGCCTGTCGCCAAATGTTTGGCTTGCTGAGTTTCCTTCTCCTCTGCAGAAATGCAAATAGAAATAACATATAACTTATGAGGTCATGAGGATTAAATAAAATAATCTAGCACTAGGTGTTAGTACAAATTGAGTACATATTATGTATTATCTATTTGTACTTAACTATAATTACCTAAGATGAAATTGTGAACATTAATTGCATATGACACTGAGAGGTTTTGTTTAAAGATCACCTCTAGTTTTTGTTTTGTATTGTTTTACCATGCTGGGGATTGAACCCATTGTCTCACACTCAGTAGGCAAGGGCTCCAACCTTCAGCCACATCCCCAACCCTTCTTTAGCTTTAATTTCTTGGTATATTGCATGTCTCCAAATTCATTCAATAGATATCATTTGAGTCATTAGCATTAAGGTATTATAGAGGAGTTTGAGGCTGTGGAGCATCTGACCAGAACAAGAGACAGGTTTTCCTGAAAAGTGTGACATTTCTTATTAGGCCCCCCCCCAAAAAAAGAAGTAATTGTGAAAAAATTAAGGAAAATGACTGCCTCTCTGAGATACCAAGCCCAATTTTATGGATACAGATACTGGAGACAAAACTTCAACCAAGAACCTTCCCTCAGCCTTGTCAGGCTCCAGTTTTAAAATTTCCAGTCTCTTCACTCTGGCCACAGTCTGACCACATTGGCCAGCCACATGCACAATCATAAAATGTGACTTCAGTGCACAGTGTGCATCAAATAGGCAATTAGCATCATCAATTATTCCAGATTTAGCTTGACTAATTTGTGAAGGCAAAGGGTGTTTCATGTAATTGCCCAATAAAAATTGCAGTGCCTCCAATTAAACTATCAAGAAACTCTCAAATACTGATCAACTACATAGGAGAACTTTTCCTTTTCTTCAACTCTGAACTTCAGCCTGCACCAGATAACTTCTTGTATTTTGAATCCTTGGAGCTTCATTTCTGCAGCTAATGATTGTATTCTTGTAGAGATTTCTTTTAAAATTTCCCATATCTACTTCTATCACAGCAATCAGAACCAATAGTAGTATCTCTCTCCAAAAGTGTGGGTGCCACTGTCATAAAAATGTCACAGTTTAAGTCTTTTTTAAAAATAATTTTAATAAGATATTGCTCTTTTTGTTCCAAAAATACCCTATGCATAATTCCCTCATGGCCTTATAACACGATGCTGTGGTCTTTGATTCATTTATTTCTGTTCTTCCACCCACCCCATTAAATTGTAAGCCCCTGGAAGGTTAAGAACTGTATCATGGTTGTTGCAGTATCTAGCAGACTTCTTGTAGTAGTTACTGCTCAGTAAGTTTCTTGACTGAATTAATGATCTGTATACTAGATTTCACAGTGGCCAGTTTGACCTAAAGAGGGTAAAAGACCATGTGGACAAATAAATTATACACAGAAACAAGATGCTAAGTAGGATTATCTTATGATAATAAGCCCTGGACTTGCTCTGTGCTTACTACCCTCTCAATCACCTGGTCTCTCACCTCTTCATATTCTCCATCTGTATCTGATGTTCCTTCTGACTGTTTTCCTCTCCCTTCCTCTCTGCTATTGGCCCACAGAAGCTACCCTATCTTTATAAAGCACATGGTGGGAACTTCACTCTGAAGCTGCCTTGGAGTCTGACAGCTCAGATAGCAAATGCCTAAGCCCCCTCTCTCATCAAACCCAGGGTGACAGATGAGCCAGGGTGAGAATTTCAGCTGGGGATGGGGGGTAAGTCAGCTGTCAAGATGTCAAGCCTGCTGACTTCTCAGGTAAAAAAGAGAAGGTGCTTAGAATGCTGGACAGGAGGGCTTTGGTTTACATTTGGCAGCATTTGAACTAAATGGGGAAAATGTCAGATGAATCCCAACATGCAGATTCCTTGTCACCTTGGTGTTTTCCGTGACTGTGGAATTAATCTTCCAAAAGACTCTGGACCTGGGAGTTCATTTTCAGTTTTCAACAAACCCGCTCAATGAGTAAAGAAGTATAGTTATACAAGTAACACAATATGTAACTAAAACTTTTTAGTATAATTTTGAGTTCAGATAAAAAGTTTACAAACTTATTGAGAACAAACACTGTTTTTGGTAACTCATGCCTGAATAGAACTATGCTAAATATATACACATATATGTATGTATTCTTTAAAATAACAGTTTTACTAATAGAGAATCTCCTCTTCACCCCTTCCCTGAGGCAAGGCCATATTACATAAATCAGGCAAATAATTTCTCTTCATTTTCCAAGTTACTTGAATGGGGACTTAGTGGTCTAGAAACTACATAAATCTTAATTCCATAAAATCACTTTGTGCACTATGCAGTAAGTGGGGATCTTAGGGAAGAGGAAGGAAGAGAAGCTCACTCCAGAGTCATGATGTTTCCTGTTTGTTTCTGGATCGAATTACTTACAGGCATTTCCATGATTAGAAATAATTTACAAAACCAGTCCTTCTAGAATTCCTACAAAGGCAGACTCGATTTAGAAACTTTTCAAAATCAAGTTCTTACTAGGCTGCTTGTGTCTAGGAATTCCACTGAGCTGTGAGATATAGTTCAGGACCTTATAAATAATAGGCTCGGTTTTTAATCAGACTTTTTTTAAGACTTTTTGTTTTCATTCAATTTTTCACCAGGATGCTGGTCAAGGTCAAGTACCCAACTCCATAACTCTTATCCATAGAGGCAAAATATCTTTCTTAGTGAAATTCTGAGAAAGTTAAAAATAGCCATCAATTCAAATGCAAATCTAGACTCTTTCTTGCTTTGCATCAGATGCAGAGACTCATTCTGGACATGCTGTATAAGCCAGTTTATGGGAAGGAGACAGAGCAGTTGGTAGCTCTCCCTCATGAGAAAGTCTTTAAAGTCCCAAGTTTGGTTTTGCATAAACATCAGAAAATTTCAGGTCACATAAAGAATGTATGCTCCATCACTGTGAGCTAAAACTTCTTCAGGGGGATTGTACTTCTGTAGTAATTCTGGAATAACTGATTATCTTTGTTTCATCTCCTAGTATATTCCAAATGAAGAAACTAGAAGAAAAAAAATAATCACCTGACTTCCAGAAGAAATTTTTTTTT